AGAGGCTCTTAACAAATCCACAATTTCCTGTTTTTGAAAAGCACCAAGAGCCACACAAGAGAGTTCCATTCATTTAAATTTCAAAAAATATTAATTTTGATCATTTTAAAGTGTTTCAAAGGAAATGCCCCCTTCCCAACAATCTTTTAGTATCTTGAGTCTTTTTTCCACTGTTGGCTAAAGTCCATTAATTTTTCCTTTTTTTTTTTTTTAAGATTTTATTTATTTGACAGACAGTGAGAGAGGGAACACAAGCAGGGGGAGTAGAGGAGGGAGAAGCAGGCTTCCTGCCGAGCAGGGAGCCGGATGCGGGGCTCGATCCCAGTACCTTGGGATCATGACCTGAGCCGAAGGCAGACGCTTAACGACTGAGCCACCCAGGTGCCCCAGTCCATTAATTTCTAAAAGGAAAGTTCCACCCTCTGACTAAGCAAGCCAATCTCGTAAAACGAAAGGGAATACCCAGCATCCTCCGAGAACCCATGGTCCTAGGCATGAAGCACATGCGCAAAGCGACCCCGCTCTGAGAGCACCCACCACAGTGAGTAACCCTGGGCAGAACGCAGCAGGGATTTGCTCAGTGATGCTTGGACTCAAGAGACTTTCTTTTCCTGGGCAAGGGGGGAGGGGAGGACAGGAAGGGAAGGGCTGCAGTTTCCACAGACAGTGACTCAGCTCTGACTGGCAGGTCTGTGTGCTCAGCACCACTGGGTGATTCTGCCTGAAGCTTATTTTCCTACCTCACCAAAGAGGTCCATTTAGACAATAGCGGACATGTTGCTGGAGGATGCAAGGGGAACGCTTTTAAGAGTCCCCATTTTATTTTTTTGTTGCAGTACCTCCTAGGGGGTACTTAGAGCCAGGTTAAAAAAAAAAAGAGCCTCTAGAGTGCCCCACACCCACACGTAAGAACTGTTCCCCATCCTTGGTTTTAAGAATGATTTCTAGAGACAAAAACAAGAATACTTTGCATACACTTGCACTCCCGGGCCCTTTCCTTTCAAGGGAGAAAGCTCCACCCCACCACACCAAATCTGCTTTTTGCTCAGAGCAAGCAGTGAAGCAAACTAGTGATGGGGCCCTTTAGGCACGAGGTGTCACCTTACTTCCCCGGCCTCAATGACCTGGGAGCCAAGCGGTTTTGTTAGAAATACCCAGCAGTAGCAGGACAAGGACCCCATGCCTGGCAGCCCTCCCCATCTCTTGGGGGTCAGGAACCACAACCTATCAGCACGTGTACATCAGAAGGAAAAGCTTTTTACAATAGACCTTTCCTTGCCAAAGGCTCTGTCATTTTAAGTTTTAAAAACATGGAGCGTGATAGAGGAGGTGCAGAAACAAAGGTGCACATACCTTTGGAGGTGTAGAGGTCAACTTCAACGGTGGGATTCCCACGAGAGTCAAAAATCTCTCTGGCGTGGATCTTGAGAATAGACATGGTGACTTTCTGGCTGCTGGATAGCGCTGCCTGGGAAAGAAGCAGAGGATGCTGCAGGCATGGAGGACGAGTGTTAAGCCGCAAGGTCTGGGTGCTCCGAGTACCCGAAGCTCGTCCGCACCCCTAAATATTTTTTTAAAAGTAGAGCACTAAAAAACAAACAAATAAATAAAAAATTAATTAATAAAAGTAGAGTGCTAAGCAAAATAAATTTCTTTTTAGATAACATGAAATATTATAAAATACTTTTTATTTATTAGTGCCTGCCTAGAGTTGGACCTCATAAATTTTATTTATTGCTGATTGGTTTACAAACCGGACTTGTGTCTGCTAGCATAGAGTTTAGACAGTGAATCTTTACTTTTAATCAACAGTCACATCCTTAGGGTAATTTTGGATTGATTATTCATCTTAACCTTCTTTTCCTTTTCTGTTCCTTAATTACTTAGTGTCTGAAAACTGGCCTTTTAAGAAAAGTTAAATAAAGTTTTGTTAAAATCAGAATAATTCTTGTCGTGATATTCAAATATGCAGTGAAATTTACTAGCCCCAGAGGCCCGGTGAGTTCTACAATGTTTGGTTTCTTAAAGACAAGCTAAACTGAATAGCAGCAGTAGATGAGGTTCATTCAGAATGTCATGTAGCACAGAAACAAAGCATTTGTCTTCCAGTGTGAATTCTCGTAGGTTTTAGCCCCCCCCGCCCCGCCCCTTATAGGCTCTTTCTGTGGCCAGGATCAGAGTCCTGTGATGTGTAGTCTTTAGGGCCACTGTAGTTTCAAGTCTGGGGAGTGTACATTCTCAAGCGAAGGCTTTCTCTAGGGAATTGGCTTATAGAATGGGCATTTCTGAGAGTAGAATGGTGGTTACCAGGGGTGGGTAAATGGAGAGATGCTGGTTAGAGGGCACATCTTATATCTTCAGATAGAAGATGAATAAGCTCTGGAGATCTAATGTACAGCATGGTGACTATAGTTAATAATAATGTATTGTATACTTGAAATTTGCTAAGAGAGTAGACCTAAAAAGCATTCTCACCATAAAAGAAAAATATGGCAACTATGTGAAGCGATGGATACGCTAATTCATCTGATTGTGATAATCGTTTTTCACAAAGTATTTGTATGTCAAATCATTGTGTTGTATACTTTAAATGTATACAATTTTATTTGTTAATTATAGCTCAATAAAGCTAAAAAAAAAAAGAATGGGTGTTTGTTCTTTGGCCATAGGGTGGACCATTCTTACTCAGTTTCTTCATTCTTGGCAATGAGTTGGTATTTATTGAATGCTGGTCCAATGACTGACTAAAAGGATTAGAGAAGGAATGGTCTAGAAACAAGTGACTTAGAGGCGCTTCAGAGCTTGACCAGTTTGCCTATGGGAAATTAAGATCATTTAATTTGGCCACCTAAAAGAATTTTTGACTGAATTCCATTTGTTACAGGAGTAGGTTAAAACTATGGCCTAAAACAAGGATTTTCAATTTTGTGGGAATTTAGTTAAGTCTTGGTAATCTTGTCACTTCTCCTATGGATGATGGGGGTTTACTTGTGGAATATTTGTTTGTTTAGGTCAAACATTTTACTGACATTTTTTATTTCATCAGACATAGATAATGATGTCACAAAGAGTCTTGGATCCATATTTCATAAAGGGCATGGATTGCAATTTGAATTCCTTGTATGCATAATTATTCACTATGCTAATGAATATACCTGCATTGTTACTTTAGACTAGAAATTTCAAAAGAATTATGTTTTTATTGGCATTTACTTTATGTCAACAGTCATGAGTTCAAGTATTTTTGTGTACAGATATCACTTTATAGAAAACACATTTGACTGTCTCATAATGGACTGTGTCAAAATTTCTTTTACTTATATATTTTGCATGAAAATAATAATCTTATCAAACTTATATACATTTATATCAGCACTGGCCACCTAAAATACATAATTATAAGAAAGTGAAAATAGAAGGGGTTATAGCAAAACAAAAATCAGAAGTATACAATACTCTGATGCTATTTGGGAAAAATCTCAGAGTTTTAATCATGAAATAGACAAGCAGAGGACTCATAGGAAAGGAAAAAGGATCTGTAATTTGTCACAAGAGAGGAGATGGGTCAACACAGGTCAGAGAATGTACAGATTTTTACGATGGCATGAACAGCTTCATACCTTATAATGCAAACACTGTTGTTTCGATTTGAAATACTGTTTCTTGAGGTCACATAATATCATCTAGGGAACAGTGTGATAAGTAAAGAAAACTTATAATAAATTTAAATCTCTTTTAGGATAGATAACACCGAGGCTTATTTTTCACTTTTCCTTCTTTGTGTGTCTAAAAATACTGTCTTATTTAATCAGTAGGTAAGAACCTCTTTCTATAGACCAGTCTGTAGTGATTCAGACACTTTTAATTTTTACATTTATTAATGAGTTATTATTAATTTCATTTCCTTCCAGTATCTTCTTTTATCTCCATTATATACCTCTTTATTTTTTCACTTTCTGCTTCTGGGAGACTTAACTTTTTTCCCTATATGAAGAAATCTGAACAAAATTTTACGTACGGCTTTCACTTAATTGCTAGAAATATTTTCATGCTATTTCATTTCGTAGTGGAGTACAAGTTACATTGCCCTAATGTGGAGGTGTCTTAAAGACATTTTCTTCCTTTCTCTTGGAGTGGTCTAGAACTTCTGACCTGGAACACGAAAACATAAGACTGTGAATCTTAGTTTACTATTATATTTTCTTAGAAGCCACTACAGGTAAGTAATTTATTCGTAAACATCACAGTAAACATATGATGCTGTTTAACTTTGATTGGGCCAATTAGTAGCAATAAGATTACTTTTAAATGTCTTTCCATTTGGAGATGTGTACTGCTATCATCAGCAGCAACCCCCTTCCCTTCCACACGCAAAACTTCCCCCACAAAACTTAGGTATGTATGTATATATGTACGTATTTCAGTATCTTTCCTCCCCTTCACAGTTGATGGGGTGTGGGTGGCTTTCTAGAGAGGGGTGGGGGAAGGGAGGCCTTGGCTGGGAGATGCTGTTGATATAAGACAGTAGGTATTCTTAATAGTCAGCGTCTGCCCTCTCACTTTTGGTAATGC